CTGCAGTGAATCTGGGACTGTAAGTAACCCTTCAATATATTGATTTGTTTCTTTGGTTATAAACCCAGCATGAAATTACTGGATCATATAGTAATCCTACTTTTACTTAATTTTTTTTGTGCTAGTATCGGGACTTTAACTCAAGGCCTCAACGTTCTTGCTTAGGTTTTTCTCCTTTCAACTGGTGCCCTACCACTTGAGCCAAACTTACTTCTGGCTTTTCGCTGTTTAACTGGAGATGAAAAGTCTCTCTGATTTGTCAGTCCAGGCTAAGTAGCTAGAATTAGGTGTGAGCTACCATCACCTGGATGCTTTTACTTTTTTGAGAAACCTCCAGCCTACAGAAAACAATAACCTCTATGGGTGACATAATACATTTTCTTTTTCTTTTTGCCAGTCTTGGGGGCTTGAACTCAGGGCTTGAGTGCTATCCCTGGCTTTCTTTTGCTTAAGGCTAGTGATCTACCACCTGAGCCACAGTACCATTTCCAGATTTTTCTGAGAAATAAAGTTTCATGGACTTTTCTGCCCAGGATGGCTTTGAACCACAATCCTCAGGTCTTAGCTTCCTGAATAGCTAGGATCACAGGCACGAGCCACCAAGGCCAGCTGTTTTCCATAAACCAGCTGCACAATAGTAAAAATTAACCAACTTTATTATTCCAGTCATTCATTAAGACTACGCTATTTTTCTTTTAAATTTCCATAAACACTTAGGCCACAAAAATACCTAGGCACACACAGAAAAAAACACCAATTAAAGCTCATTTCTTTAGGCTATTGATAATAGTTAAAAGTTTAAGCTTTAGAGGGTTATTGGGTGATAGGTCTGACTCAGTCCTACCATCAAAACAAAGGAAAGATGATCAATTTATAGAGTGTGGGAACAAATATCTCACACCAGATGTAGTCTAAGGTTTAGTCATTTACTCTTTCCAGTGGTATTAGTCACAGGCAAGTCCATAGTTCTAATTTTGTTATATTTTTGGGAGGCTAGTATATGCTATGCTGCTTAAGTACATACACAAGCCTCTAACTATAACCAAAAATGTGTTGCATGTGTATGGAACTCATCAAGTATTTATCAATATATGATTCCCCAAATTCTATCTATATTACAAAAAAAAGGGAATTTTTACCATTTTTTCCTTAAATACATTATATTAAAATTCTCCCAAATAGCCAGACACTGTTGGTTCATGCCTTTAATCCTAGCTACTCAGGAGGCTGAGATTTGAGGATCACAATTTGAAGTGAGCCCGGGCATAAAAGTCCATGAGAGGGGCTGGGAAGGTGGCTCAGTGGTAGAGTGCTTGCCTTGTATGCATGAGGCCCTGGATTCAATTCCTCAGCACCACATAAGCAAAAAGAAAAAAGCCAGAAGTGGTGCTGTGGCTCAAGTGGTAGAGTGCTAGTCTTGAGCAGAAGAGCTGAGGGACAGTGCCCAGGCCCAGAGTTCAGGCTCCATGACCGGACCCCCCCCAAAAAAAGTCCATGAGACTCTTATCTCCAGTAAAATATTCAGAAAAAGCCAGAAGTGGTGCTGTGTTTCAAAGTGCTAGAGCACTAGCCTTGAGCACCAAGAGGCTCAGGGACAGCACCCAGGCCCTGAGTTCAAGTCCCAGGATTGGCAAAAATAAAAATCACTGTAAAAAAAAATCTTCAAACAAGGGGCTGGGAAGGTGGCTCAGTGGTAGAGTGCTTGCCTTGCATGCATGAGGCCCTGGGTTCAATTCCTTAGCACCACATAAGCAAAAAAAGAAAAAAGCCAAAGTGGTGCTGTGGTTCAAGAGGTAGAGCGTTAGCCTTGAGCTGAAGAGCTGAGGGACAGCGCCCAGGCCCAGAGTTCAGGCCCCATGACCGGACCCCCCCCCCAAAAAAAATCTTCAAACAAGAAAAGAAACTTGAAAACTAAAAGGAGAAAAAGAATTTCACAATTCATTTCTTGGTGTCCTGTGTTGCCGCACCAGTAGTAATATACCCAGCACACATGACTGACTGCTCTGAGACCTGCAGAAATATCACATAAAGCAAAGTAACAAATGCGCAGGTACTATGGTATGCTGAAGATAACACTCGACAAACATTTAATAAGTGGATGAAATCCTAACAGTTCTTAAACAAAATCTGCCTCATGGCAAGTACTACACAGAAGTACATTTGCCTCTCTTCACTGTTACTGATGGGGACTCTGCTTTTCATACTGGAGAACAGGTTATTTTTCCCACTAGGAAGAGCTTGATAATTTATAATTCCACACACTTTTAAATTCTGATAGTCTTTAAGTGCTAATGATTTCTCTACTAAGCATGTACATAGTTAGAAGTCTATTATAAAACTGCAAACTTTTTTTCTTTTGGTCGGTTGTGGAGCCTGAACTCTGGGACTGGGGTTTGTCCCTCAGCTCTTCAGCTCAAGGCTAGCACTCTACCACTTGAGCCACAGTGCCACTTCTGGCTTATTCTGTTTATGTGGTGCTAAGGAATCAAACCCAGGGCCTCATGCATGCAAGGCAAGCACTCTACCACTGAGCCACCTTCCCAGCCCTGCAAACATGTTTTATAATATTACCTTATCTAAGCTTTCCACAACCATAAGTATGTCATTTGCATGACCCAGTCTGGTTAGAAAGATATATTACAAAGATTAACCAAAAACAAGTAAAAGGGAAGGCTAAAAAAGGCAAGGTCACAAATAAGGCCTAGAAGTGTAAGTAATAAAGCCTTGGTTTTCTGACTGCCAGACCCTTCCTCCTTCAGCTTTAGAAAGCTGCATTTAAAGGACACTTCAAATAAAATCACTCCTGCCCGCCCACCCACCCACTCTCCTCTAAGACTTGTTCAAGCTAAACAATTAGGCAGACTTTAAAGTTAACAGGAAATAACAGACCCAAAAATAACTGGGGTGCGGTATCACCTCAGCAGAAGCTTTGGAGCTGTGAACAAAGGGAGACAATTCTGGTCAGACACCATAGCATCAGACCAGGATTTCATGCCCAATACAACCAGCCTTCACTACTCAGCCATACCTGATTTTTCTGAAAAGAAAAATTAAGCTCTATTTCAAACTCTGGAAAACCCAAACTCTCTCCCCCCTTCAAAAAAAAAAGGAAAAAAAAAAAGCAACATTAAGAGAAACCAATGTTTTGAAGGTTAAGTTCTTAGGCTAAGGTTTTTATATGCTACACAAATTCACATACTGTAAAGGCATAAAATCGCTTGTTTCAGAGCAATCTTAAAAATATACAAAATACTATGTAATTTGTAATTTTGCTAAAGAACAAATTTGTAGCACGTAGACTATAAGGGTGGAGTTCAGTGAGTTTTAAGCAAGGCTTGCAGTCAGAAGAACCTACATATTAACCATATTTTATTTCCATATTTAAATGCCTGAAAGGGGCATTTTGAAATGTGCTTCCTATTTTATGGTAGAAGTCACACAGTATGCTGGTGATCAGTTTGAGAATGCTTAAGTTCTTAAGGGCTTCTCCTTAACTTACCCAGACTTGACACACAGTTCTTGTTTTGCTGAGTTCCCTGCCTACTACATTTAGAAGTAAGAGATTAGAAAGCAATGAGGGTATATTTGACAGAGAAGAGCACTGGAGAGAAAATGACAAAAATACTAAAATGGTATAGCAGTGAGGAGCAAATTTAGTATAGGAGAAAACTGCCAACACCTCTTCACAGAGGAACACACCCGCCATACTGACAGAATAGTAGAGATGTGAAGGTAATAATGATCTTGATTCATCAAAAAAGGTTCTGTATATTTACGTTCCAAGTCTTTTTTTTTTTTTTACGTTCCAAGTCTTAAAAAAGGGTTATATCCTCCTTATGTGTCAGATGCTATGAAGACTTACACTAAAAAGCTCATAATAACTGAGCTGTTAAAGGAATGGATCAGTTATATGAAAATTGACTTAAATCCCTAATAATGTCACTCACACAAATTCTGAGTAGGTAAGTCTCAAAAATACCATTATATTTAGGAAGTATTATGTAGTGTACATAATCAACATTTATGATCCTGAACATATAAATGGATTTTCTTCCTTAAAAGATTCTGTTGCTAGCAATCTTAATTTTCTCCTTATAATGACAAAAATGAAAAGTTTTTAAAAATACTTTTCTAATGATAACTACTTCATCCATCAATAACACAGCTGGTCTACGTATATTCCCTTCTTATAAAATAGTGCCTTCAAACCGATTATTAACACTTAAAAGAGAGAGAAGGGCTGGGCTTTAAGTCTTACAGCTGGACGAAAGGAACCATGAGTTAGTAGTTATGTTTGACAGGTCTTATTAGTGTAAGGGCACAAATAACTACAACATAAAACTCTGCAAGATTTATAAGGGGATACTTCAGTTTTGTTCTAACAACAACAACAAGGGAAATCTAATAGCAGTGGCCGGCTAAATCGGGGAACATTGTTCTTCTCCCAATCTCAATAGCCAAGAGAACATAGAAAAGCAGCATGTCCGGATCTGTTAAGTTCCCTTCACACACCACTAAAAGGACTTGTCTGTATCTATGTCATCTCGTTAACGTTTCTCTTAAGAGCAGTGACTTCTAAGGATCTCGGAGAAATGAGCGCCAAAAGTACTCCGTATCATGCCCTTTACAGCGGGCGGGGAGGAGTGCCAGAAAGATCTGACCCTCAAGGCAGGCTTGACTTGGAAAGAGTCTGGTCCCCAGGCTCCTGATCACCGCAGATGTCTTGCTTCTTGGGGGCGGGGGGGGGGGGGGGGGAAGGAATTCTTTCCTGAAGTGATCATGGGTGATGATGACGATGGTAAGAGGTCCCAGACCCCCACCCCTCGCACAGGACAACCCGGGAAAGGGGGACCTCTACCTGGCTACTGCCAGGGTACCGTGGGCTGTTGGGGGGGGAGGTCGGGGCTGCCCCCGGGGGAGGAGGGGGGAGGGCTGTCCCCGGGGGAGGAGGGGGCCCCGCCCCCCCAGCCGCCGTCCGGCGAGGTCGCGGAGGAGGGCACCTTTGACGACGCGCTCGGTGGTGGAGAGCTGACCCGACCCCCCGGACATCGTCCCGCCGGCCTCCTCCGGGCTCCGGGGCGGCCGGACCCGAGCCTCCGCGTCGCCGCCTGTCCTCTCCGGAGGTCTCAGCTCCGCGGGGCCGTCAGCGCCGTGCCCGGCCCCGGCTCCGGCAGCCCAACTCCAAGAGGACCGGCCTCCGACTCCACCGGCAGGCGGCGGACGCACGGCCGCTCCCTCCCGCGGCGCCCGCGGCTCGGCGGAGACGACCGTGTCGGGAGCGACAGCGACAGCGCAGCGACGGCGGCTGAAGGAAGCTACTAGGACCAAGGCTGCTCGCGCGCCTCGCCCGCGTGCGCGCCCCCGCCGGCGTGCGCGCCCCCGCGCCGCGCTCACAACCTCCCTACCCGCGCTCCCGCGGACCTCTGCGCACGCGCACTTTCCTGCCAGCGGCTGGCCAGGCCTTTGCCTGCCCACAGTGGGCTTTCCTTTCTCAGCTGCGTTGTCCTCAGCTGGCTCCTCCTGTCCGCCCTGGCCTGAGCTCTCCCACCCAGAGCCAGGCCCTATGCTATTCAAGACTTCAGGTGGGGTCTGGTGCCTGTGGTTCACACCTGTAATACTCGCCACTCAGAAGACAGAGGTCTGAGGATTGAGGTTCAAAACCAGCCTGGGCAGGTAAGCCCATGAGACTTATCTCTACCAAAAAATCCAGAAGTAGAGCGGTGGCTCAAGTGGAAGAGCACTAGCCTTGAGCAAAAGAGCTCAGGAACTGCGTCCAGGCTCTGAATTCAAGTGCACACACATACCCCCCGAAGGGACAGCACCCTCCTACTTCAATCCCCAGTGCCAGCACTAAATAGTAAATAAGCAAACAAACAAAAATGACCCGGTAGGATATACACAGGATAGCTAAAAACGCAAATTGAAAACCGCAAAACAAGAGGAGAAGGGATGGATTATTCAATAATAGTAGAAAGAGGTGCGGCTACTTGGATCTTAAATTGGTACCAATGGTCAAAGTGAACTAAGGCATCCCAGGAAGTTACATCTGGCCTCACTTAGAGCTCTGAAACGTTAGATTCCTCAGGGTCTCACTTTGAACAAAACGCATCTGACCTGGAAGTCCTTTTAGTACAGCTTTGCCCTTAGAATTGGGGCAGCCACTGGGAGCCTGAGCTTTCTTTCAACCTAAAACAATTAATTCTCTGGAGAGCTGTCAGCAGTCAGCCCTGGAGAAGCAGCCAGAAGATGAGTACCCATGCCTGGTAAAGGGGGGTCTGAGGAGGACCACCTTGCTATCATTTGCTGCTCAGAAATGAAGAACACTCAAAAGTTCTGGCGTCTGGGTGAAGAGAAAGACACTAAAGCCCTTATATAAACAGGGCTTCCAGAAACTTGCTGGAAGGCAGAGCTAAGAGGGGATTTCAATAGAAAGCCTGAGGACAAGAAAAGCTGCAGTTGTCAGTTGCTTACATTCCTTTGATAAAACCAAACAAGAGAACCACGTCTGGATCTTGTAAATTCAAGTACAGCCATACTTGGGGATCCTAGGCCCCACGTTCTGTGTGGTACTGTAGAAAGAACTCAGCCACCCCTGTTCCCCTGTGATGGGGTTCCCTGGGCTGCCTACCATACTGTGTGTCTTTGGACAACTTACTTCATGTTTCTGTATCTCAACTTCCCTTGTCCTTAAAACAGGATAAAACAACATTTACCATATGGGTTGTGATGAAAATCAAATGAGTATTTGTTTAAAAAATGCATTTAGAAGCTTGCCTGGCACATAATAAGCATTTCATTTGTGCTTATTACATAAAGAGAAAAGAATTTGTTGAATGAAGGTGGGCACAGGTAGCTCACAGCTATAATCCTCTTATTCAGGAGGTTGAGACCTAGAGGAACATGATTTGAAGAAGCCAGCCTGGGAAATAAAAGTGTGAGACCTCAATGGATCAACAAATAGTGGGCCTGGAGACATGGAGCAAGTTCTAGAGCACCAGCTGTGAGCCAAAAAAGCCAAGTTCAAACCCTGGGTTGGCACACACAAAAGAATTGTGGAATGAGCCAATGTGTAGCTCAAGCCTGTCATCCTAACCCTTGGGAGGTAAAGTCTGGGGTCCTTTTCTGACTCACAGTCAGGTGGTTGGCAGATGATTACTGGTTTCAGGCAGGTGAAGAGGAAGGGGGGATGTGCTGTACTCCTAGGCAGACCTAACGTAGTCTACACAGCAGCAGCTTTGGTAGAAGCAGAATTGAACCCATCCATCCCAGCTCAGGTGGCCCCTGCGCGTGTTGAAGTGAAGATGTCAACACCGCTTCTAACAGTTCTCCTTACTTCCTGTCTCAGTGATGTGTCAGAGAAGGTGGATTTCTCTGGGAGAACATTTCCATCCAGGTCAGGAAAGGCTTTGACCTGCACAATCTGAGACAACCAGAAGTGTTCACCTATTGCTCTGCCTTTACTTTCACAACATCCCTGTAGTAGGTCTCCAAGGCTTAGGTTGCTTAGAGCTAGGCCCTGGCTAAGATCCATGGCCTCCTTGTGGGGTTTGGGTCTTACACAGTCCATTGAGAATAAGGTGTAAAAATGAAAAAAGTAGCTCTTTATAGCATCAGCCTCCTGATGGATCATTGCAATCCATTCTCCCCAATAGCTCTAGAGTTAACTTCTATGTCAAACCTAGCTGTTGACTTTGCTCTTCATCTCACTAATATAGTGACCTGTTGTCCTTGAGACCCAGTTCAGCTCCCATAGCCTGGCCTCAAAGCTGTTTCTCACCTGACCCTGACTCACCTCTCCAGCCTCTTTCTCTGCATGGCCTCACTGAGACCCCGTTAACCAGCCGCTATCTACAATTGGCTGTGCTTTTTCAGGAATGTACCCCTCCGAAGAAGGATAGAATTTTAAGACAAAAGGACTAGGGGAAATGTCCTAGGCTAGGCAAAGTTGTCCAAAGACATGGAGTTAGAGCATGGTAGTATATTCAGAAATCAATACCTTGGACATGTGGAACTTCTTGCCTTGAATGCCCATCCTTCTCTATTTCCAACCAGGCAGCTCAGCCATGTCCTATCATCTAGCCTTATTATACTCTGTAAAGCCTGTACTCATTCTCCTTTCTCTATTTTCTAAGAGCATTTTATGAACAGGTTAGCAGTAACATGCAGGGTAAAGTACTTACATGTGGCTATTTTTCCTACCAGACTGTTAAGGCAGAGACTATATCCACAGTTTCTCAGCTGGTCCCTTTTATATGGTACGCAGGTGCTCAGTGTTTGTTGATGAAGGATAACACCATTCCCTTTTCTTGTATCTAATAATTCAATAATAATGTTCCAGTAGATAAAGGTTGAATAAAAACTCTACTAGGCAACAAAATAACTAAGAGGCTAAGGATTTATATGGATCAACATCATTATATTACAGATAAATGAGCCCAGAGATGAGAATTCATTACCAAGCTAGAACTACAACTCCAATTTAGGCCTTTTCTGTATCAAAGTTTTTTGTTTTTTTTTGTTTTTGTTTGTTTTTGTATGTGTGTACATACATATGCCTATATGTATATGTGCACTTTTTTTTTGTGGGTTGTGGGGCTTGAACTCTGGGTCTGGGTGCTGTCCCTGAGCTCTTCAGCTCAAGGAGAACACTTTCATTTGAACCATAGTGCCACTTCTGGTTTCTGATGGTTAATTTGAGATAAGAGTCTCATGGACTTCGCTGCTCCAGCTGGCTTTGAACCGTGATCCTCATATCTCAGCCTTCTGAGTAGCTAGGATTACAGGCATGAGCCACTGGCACCCAGGTATGTGCATATTTTTTAAAATGAGATTTCAGTAAAAAGTGAGGACTCTGCTGAGAATTCTATTAGAATTGTGTTACACTGTGGCAAAAAACTTGTCTCCATTTTGTTCATGCCCTGAGACTTTGTAAAATTGTTGCAGGTATTTGTCACAGCAAAAACAACAACAACAACAACAACAAAAACCTAACACAATATTCAGATGTATGAATATTCACCAGCTTTTGTGTATATTAACAGTAACAAACCTAGGCATATCATGAGGCATAGATTTAATCAGTATGTTAACTATCAATTGATTTGAATACTCTAGGTGCAATCTTGTTTCATTATAATAAAACATTGAGAGGCTGGTATATAACTCATTTGTAGAGCATTTGCATAGTATGTGAAAGGCCTTGAGTTCAATTCTTAGCATTGAAAAACAAAAATTAAATGGAAGAAATCATAGTGTAACTCACAAAGAAAGACCAACTGCTGTTTAAAGAAAAAATGCTCCAATTTATAACATCAAGTTTATTGAGATATAATTTGCATATAATGAAAATTTCCAAGCCAGGCACCAGTGGCTCATTCCTATAATCCTAGCTACTTAGGAAGCTGAGATCTGAGGATTGTGGTTCAAAGCCGGCCAAGGCAGGAAATATGTGAGACTCTTATGTCCAGTTAACTACCAAAAAACTGGAAGTGGTGCTGTGGCTCAAAGAGTTACAGCACTAGCCTTGAGCAAAAGAGCTCAGGGACAGTGCCCAGGCCCTGAGTTCAAGTCCATGACTTACAAAAATGAAATAAAATTTCAGCCCTCAGAGACTGAGATTGAAGAACTGGGAGTTAAAGGTCAATGTGGTTTACATAATGAGAGCCTGTCTCAAAAAAACAAAGAATTATATTTAACTGGCATTCTTGCTCATAGCTTCAACTTTGTATAGAGCTTGTGAGAATTATATTTTCCTATGAAACTCCCTAAGCACTTCATAAATTTTAATTAATGAGCAGCTCCTCTGAGAAATAGTTTTGAGCACTTTTAATTTAATGAAAGCGCAGGGAATCCTTATTCCGCTGTTGTGTAAACCTGGCCTGTTTCTATTTATATGAAGCCATTACTCTCTGTGTTATATGAAGGTGAGACAACTGAAGAGTATTTAAAAAAAAACCAAGCATTTCTAAAATAAAATGCTTTAAAAAATAAGCATTTCTAAAATAGTTACATAGAGTAAGAAGTGTTTCATAGGGTTTACTATCCAGTTTTTGCTGGTCCTGAGGCTTGAACTTAGGGCCTGGGCACTGTCCTTCAGCCTCTCTGTGTTCAAGGCTAGCACTCTACCACTTGAGTCACAGCTTTAATTTCTGTTTTTTTCTGTGTATGTGGTACTGAGAAATCGACCCCAAGGCTTCATGCCTGCTAGGCAAGCACTCTACCACTAAGCCACATTCCCAGCCCTTAATGTTTTTTATTAGTAATGATTATACTTTGTATATTATAGTTTATTGGTATTTCCTAATTTT